CATTAAGCTATCGAGTATGACACGAAAATGACACGAACACGAGAAACACGACACGAATGCCAGCCCTAGTTTTGACGATTTGTATTTCAAAGTGTTTTCTTTCCTTTTTCTATTTCAATTCATTTTGTTTTATGGTTGTTCGTAACTAATTTCCATTTGTTAGGGCGATGCCTTGAGCCTTAACATGAATATGTAGTTTTTATTTAATTGCTTATGATATTATACATGCATGCTTTGAATTATTATAATCACTGTGTTTAAACTGTCTCTATATCTTAATGATTCGTGACCATTAGGATGTTTAGATAAGTAATCGGATGCAATTCGATCGGAATGCCACCAGAGGATTGAGTATTGCTTTCTCGTGATTGATAGTTGTAATTTCACCTCGGACGAATGCCACGTCTTAGGGGTTGCATGGTTTTTCAAAAGGTTTTCACAAAGCGTAATGATCATGCATGTTTATATTTGATCTGAATGCCACAGACCGATTGCATGTTTGATATACGTTTTAACTTGAATGCCACAAGTAGAATATGCATAAGGAAAACCTAACGTTCAAAGTTGCATGTGTAATTCATAAATAATTGGTAAAACTATATAAGATTGTTAAGATGATGGCGGAACTCTAGTGTCATTTTATCATTATTTTCTAAGGTTGTTCCCCTTCAAATTGGTTTCTTTAATTATTTTTTTATTAAAATTATTTTTTTGTTATTTTAAAATCCAAAACCAATATTTTCCAAACTTCGTTTTAAATAGTTAATTAAGAATTAGTTTAAATACAAATTAATCAATCAATCCTTGTGGAGAACGAACTTACTTGAGCTGCTATACTATGATAACCTTGTACTTAGACCTGGCAATTTATTACACGACCCGTTAACACGACACGTAAACGACACGAAAATAACGGGTTTCGGATCAACACGATAACTAATTGGGTCATTATCGGGTCACACGATAATAACCCATTAATAACGGGTCCTTAACATGTTTACACGAGAGTGACACGCGTGGTAACCTGTTTCGACACGATAAGAAAAATGCTATTTTGATGATTTTAATTTTTTAAACTACTAAAAAAAACTTACTATAAAATGCAATAGATATAATGAATATGTATATATTGTTTATTAATTATTATTCTATATAAAATTTAAAATTTAAGTTTTATGTATTTATTTATTTTTTTAGTATATTGTAGGCAAAGATTGAGATTAAAAATAAAAATATCAAGTAATTTAAAAATACCAAAAACATAAAAAAATTATAATAATTAATTTCCCGCCTAATATTTCAAGAGTTTCATCCATTTCCCACCTAATGTTTGGGAAATTTTGCAACCTATACCCATCCATTTCCCGCCTAATGTTTAACCCAAAGAAAAAAAATAACCAGCTTTTTTTTTTTCTTTTTTTATCTCTTATAACATTTTAACTTGAATAGAAATAAAATACGTAATAAAAAACATAAATGTAATTTTATTATTAAATATCATCACATACTAATTCAAACATAGTCTAATTAACACTTAAAATATATAAATAATAAATGTATTTATTCCAAGTCATCAAAACGATGAGAGTATGAATAAACTTTTAAGTGTTAGTGAATTTATCGTTTTGACGGGATACGTATCCTACAAAACTAATTTCAACAATCCAACCGTCAAACTTGTTTATACATGCTTCGAGATCGCATACTCCAAAAATTGCAAAAAACAAACATTCAAAGATGAAGTAATGAGACAAAACTTTTCAACGGTTATAAACGAAAAATCACGATTTAACGGTTATTTTAACTCTGATTTTGATGATTTTGTACAGCTACACTCCTTGACCTTATATGAATACAATGAATGAATTCGATCTTCAATTTAAAATATTTACACTAGTGGATACCACAAATCTTATGTTATACTTAATGAAAGTATAAATAAACTCTTAAGTATTAGTTAATGTATCGTTTTGATGGGATACGCATCCTATGAAACTAATTTCAATGATCCAACCGTCAAACTTGTTTATACATGTTTTGAGATCGCATACACCAAAAATTACAAAAAATAAACATTCAGAGATTAAGTAACGAGACAAAACTTTTCGACGGTTATAAATGAAAAATCACGATTTAACGGTTATTTTAACTTTGATTTTGATGATTTTTTACAGCTACACTCCTTGATCTTATATAAATATAATGAATAAATTCGATCTTCAATTTAAAATATTTACACTAGTGGATACCACAAAATCTTATGTTATACTTGATGAAAATATAAATAAACTCTTAAGTGTTAGTGAATCTATCGTTTTGATGGGATACGCATCTTACAAACTAATTTCAACGATCCAACTGTCAAACTTATTTATATATGCTTCAAGATCGCATATGCCAAAAATTGCAAAAAACAAACATTCAGAGGTCAAGTAATGAGACAAAACTTTTCGACGGTTATAAACGAAAAATCACGATTTAACGGTTATTTTAACTCCGATTTTGATGTTTTTTTACAGCTACACTCCTTGACCCTAAACAAATACAATGAATGAATTCGATCTTCAATTTTAAATATTTACACTAGTGGATACCACAAAATCTTATGTTATACTTGATGAAAGTATAAATAAACTCTTAAGTGTTAGTGAATTTATCGTTTTGATGTGATACGCATCCTACGAAACTAATTTCAACGATCCAACCGTCAAACTTGTTTATATATGCTTCGAGATCGCATAAGCCAAAAATTGCAAAAAACAAACATTCAGAGATCAAGTAATGAGACAAAACTTTTCGATGGTTATAAACGAAAAATCAAGATTTAACGGTTATTGTAACTCCGATTTTGATGATTTTTTTACAGCTACACTCCTTGACCCTAAATGAATACAATGAATGAATTCGATCTTCAATTTAAAATATTTACATTAGTGGATACCACAAAATCTTCTGTTATACTTGACAAAAGTATAAATAAACTCTTTAGTGTTAGTGAATCTATCGTTTTGATGGGATACACATCCTACGAAACCAATTTCAACAATCCAACCGTCAAACTTGTTTATATATGTTTCGAGATCGCATACGTGAAAAATTGCAAAAAAAAAAACATTCAAAGATCAAGTAATGAGACAAAACTTTTCGACGGTTATAAACGAAAAATTACGATTTAACGGTTATTTTAACTCTGATTTTGATGATTTTTTACAGCTACACTCATTGACTCTATACGAATACAATGAATGAATTCGATCTTCAATTTAAAATATTTACACTAGTGGATACCATAAAATCTTATGTTATACTCGATGAAAGTATAAATAAGTGTGGATTTTTAAAACCCTCCAAATCTCATGAGCAATGTTATTTATTTGAGTGAAAAATTAATAATAATAAGTGTGAAAAATGTAATCACTCATAATGAAAAGCTTTACAACTTTCATTAAGGGGTCAACTCCGAAATTTAGTATGTATATACTAATTTAATATTATGTTTTACATTTTTTTGGGTCAAATTATGTTTTTCTTTTCATTTTTATTGATTTAAAATATAATGTTCTTAACGGGTAACGGATCGGGTCATATTACCTGATAATATTAACGGGTTGATTTCGGGTCGGGTCATATTACCCGTTTACTTTAACAGGTATTACACGACACGACCCGTTAAGCTATCGGGTATGACACGAAAACGACACGAACACGAGAAACACGACACGAATGCCAGGTCTACTTGTACTCTTGCAAGTGGTAAAAATCTTATCACATGGCTACTGTGGAACAAAAACAAGGGTTTGGAAGTAATAGATGAATGCTTGGAGGACTTATACATTGAGTTTGAGGTCTTAATTAAGATGCATTGAAGTGTGTCTAGTATGCATTCAAAAGCTTCCGGAAGACAGACCAGCAGTATCATCTGTGCTTCTCATGTTAAGCAATGAGGAACCAACATTGCCCCAACCAATGGAGCCTGGATTCTTTGTAAAAAGAAGTTCGATGGGCATTGATCCCTTAACGGGAGATGGAAGAAGCCATGCCCGAAATACTATTACTCTTTCGACCATGGTAGTAGATAATTGAAGCATCAAGAACCTTGAGTGATTAGTTATTGTGGTGAGCATGCCACTATCAGGCTATTAGCATTGAAAAATGCCTAATGGACAGTGAGTGGTAAACTTGTCGCGCAAGAAGAAACCTAACTTCTAACCAAGCCGCTGAACAGTGATTGGGCAACTTGTACGACTAATAGAAAACTTGTCTCAATAAGTGTCTGCTAGATCTTGTAATCGTATTGCGCACGACTAAGTTGAGTTTGCTTCTTTTTTTCTGGTTTTGGATTATGTGGTTTGATGGAGGAGCTAGAGTTGCTATCATAGTTGATAATGTAGTGATTTGGAAAGAGTCAAATATTTCAAGGGAGCTGAGTTTTGGAAAGAGTCAAATAGATGGATAAATACTTACATATACAAGACCAGTGGCATTCTAATGCAGTTCCGTATAAAATGGAGGACAAAATTTTGTTCTCCAAGTCAACAAGACTTGGTAAAGAAGAAAACAACACATAACGTAAACGTTTTTTTTTTTTTTTTTAATTTATTATTATTATTATTATTTTTTAATTTTATACAACCATACGAAGGATGAAGAAATTGCATATAAGATCTCGTGTGTAAAGGAGCTAGAACGAAACCAGCTTCGTATAAATAGGCACAAAATAAGAGTATTATGAAGATGTGAGAGATTATTTAAGTCATATGATCTATGCCAGGAAGAAAAAGTCCCACACATCTTTTATATACTATATCTCGAACTATATTTTCTATAAATTGCTCTGACCATGTATATAAATATGCAATATATATTATCTTTTTCCAATAGGCCATCTTCCGCATTTTCCTTGTCAATTATACTGTCAATACAAAGACTTTATTTGAAAATTAATATGTGGTGGGAAATTTTTTGAATGATGGACACACGTCAACAGACAATTGAAAGGCTGCTTCAACGAAAGTCCGTAAGGGCGGGCTTGGGTTTAGATAAGTTGTGTAGAGTAATGTACTTCTCCTCATTCAAGATTGAATCTCCCCTTCCGAGGTTTTGATGAATCGAGTGTAATTACCCAATCGTTTGTCAATAAAAAACCTGCAAGGTTCAAAGTAATCAGTCTCCTTCCCTCTTCTTGACAAACAACACAGATGAAGGGCCTTCCCTTTTTCATCTTCTTTGCCCCTCTACTCCAATTTTTAGTCTTACGATTGTCCACAGCAACTGATACCATATCTGCATCACAATCCATCAATGGCTCTAATACCTTAGTTTCTTCAGGCCAAAGCTTCGAATTAGGACTCTTCCAGGTGGGTAATTCTAAAGCCTGGTACTTAGGAATATGGTTTAAGAACTTACCACATACTGTTGTATGGGTTGCCAACAGAGAAAACCCTCTTCCGGATTCATATGGAGCCTTGACGTTAACCAAAAATGGAACTATGGTCCTTTTCGACCAAATGAACAACACTATTTGGTCCACCATTTCTTCCCAAATAGCAGAAAATCCTGTTGCACAGCTTTTGGAGACCGGAAATCTCGTTGTTCGAGACAAGGCTGCAACAGACTCCGAAAGTTATGTATGGCAAAGTTTTGATTTCCCATCAGACACTTCGTTACCAAAAATGAAGATCGGGTGGAACTTCAGAACAGGTCTTAACAGATTGTTGACTTCTTGGAAAAACGCTAGTGATCCATCTCCTGGAGAATATACTTATGGGATCGATCCTCTTGGATTGCCTCAACTCGTAGTTTCCAAAGGAACAGAGAAATTGTACCGCACGGGGCCCTGGAATGGTCTTCGATTTACTGGCTTTCCTAGTCCTTCAAACGAGCTCATTGTGAAACCGATCTATGTCTATGATGCCAATGAGTTATATTACATGTACATGGCTACTGATATTATGACAGGAGTAAAGCTTACTGAGTCGGGTTTAGCCCAGCGGGTGGTGCTCAACAGAGGGAGCACTGAATGGGCTGTTATGTATACTCTCCAAAATGATAGGTGTGATAATTACAGAGAGTGTGGAGCAAATGGTTTTTGCAAAATTTCCAATTCACCCCCTTGTGAGTGCCTGCAGGGTTATGTTCCAAAATCGCAGAACGAATGGGAGGTGCTTAACTGGACAAGTGGGTGCATAAGGGAAACATCACTGAGTTGCCACAAGGATGATGGGTTTTTGAAAGTTCCAAATGTGAAATTGCCGGACCTGTTGGATTTTCAGTTGAACAAGAGCATGAGTGTGAAACAATGTGAGGCAGACTGCTTAAAGAATTGTTCTTGTGTAGCTTATACTAATTCAGATGTCAGGAATGGAGGGAGTGGCTGCCTTATGTGGTTTGGCGACCTAATTGATATGCGAGAGTCCATTGAAGAAGCTAGCCCGGAACACATATATATTCGAATGCCATCTTCCGAACTAGGTAAATGATCAGTTTTCATTAACAATGTTATCTAGCTAGGTTCTGCAGCCCTATTTTATTAAGTTCAAAGATTTATTGCTTACAATTTGTATGTCACAATGCTATATTTAGTTAAAAAAATCCTTGTTTTGGCATCAATTTAAGCATGCCTAGTTGTAATACACCAAACTAGACCACAAGAGAATAATTTGTGAGATTTACTGAATAAGTCAGCATAATCTGTAATTTAATTTCTCAATGTTATTTACTACATGATCTTTAGGTAATTCCACTCAGAAGGATAAACGAGTAGTGCTGATCTCAGTCATACCTGCAGTTTCTGTGCTTCTTTTCCTGGGATTTACGTGCTTTTTGCACCTAATAATTCGGAAGAAGAGAGGAAAGAAAAGTGGTAAGCATGCATATACTTTAGAATTCAAATTCATCCTTTGATGTTGCTTTATATCATAATCTTTTCTTTCTCTTGTTTTTTCCATTTGAAAGGCTCAACATCTCCTAAGGACTTGGAATTGCCACTCTTTGATTTTGAGGAAATCGCAACTGCCACCAATAACTTCTCGTTCAGAAACAAACTCGGAGAGGGAGGGTTCGGTCCAGTTTACAAGGTAACAACGTTATAGCTGACGTACTTATACGAACTGAACTAAATATTTTCCTCTAAAATTTCAGGGGAGCCTAGGACAAGATGAACTAATAGCAGTCAAGAGACTCTCAAAAGATTCCGGACAAGGTATCGAGGAGTTTAAAAATGAAGTTACGATGATAGCCAATCTTCAACACTGGAATCTTGTGAAACTTTTGGGATGCTGCATTGAAGGAGAAGAAAGGATACTTATCTATGAGTACTTGCCAAACAAAAGCTTGGACTGCTTTATATTCGGTCTAACACTCTCTCCTTCTTTCAGATTAATTACGCACCTAAAATTTGATTTTACTACTTTGTAGTGCAGTTTATGGAACTAAACAGTCCAATGCAGCTCTCTTTATATCGTAGAGGAGGAAACTTGAACAAAAATTAATTCATGTGCAGATCAAAACCAAAAGGTGCTTCTGAATTGGCAAAAGCGATATGACATTATCATGGGAATCGCACGAGGACTTCTCTACCTCCACCAAGACTCAAGAGTAAGAATCATTCACCGGGATCTCAAGAGTAACAATATCTTACTTGACCATGAGCTGAACCCCAAAATTTCTGATTTCGGAATAGCAAGGATTTTCGAACGCAATCAAACCGAAGCGAAAACAAAACGTGTAATTGGAACATAGTGAGTTATACTAACATAGACCATGAATCTTCATTTCTCTAACACAAAGGAAATGTCTTCAATGGTACTTAAGTAATGTGTTTTTGCATGTAGCGGATATATGTCTCCGGAGTACGCAATTGATGGGAAGTTTTCAGTGAAATCCGATGTTTTCAGTTTCGGAGTGCTTTTGTTAGAGATAATTAGTGGCAGAAAGAACAGAGGATTTCATCATGCAGATCACAATCACAGTCTTTTGGGACATGTAAGTATTTTATGCTTAATTATATTTGTGTCCTACTAATATCGAACTCTCATTTTTTCATGTGTTTTGCTAAATCAATTTAATTTTCAATTATTCCAGGCATGGCTACTGTGGAACAAAAACAAGGGTTTGGAAGTAGTCGATCCATGCTTAGAGTACTCATGTGTTGAGTTTGAGGTGCTAAGATGCATTCAAGTGGGTCTACTATGCGTTCAAAAGCTTCCAAAAGACAGACCAGTAATGTCATCGGTGTTTCTAATGTTAAGCAATGAGGCAGCGATATTGCCACAACCGAAGGAGCCTGGTTTCTTCACAGAAAGAAGTTCCATGGACATCGAAGATACCTTAGCTGGCAAAGGTAGAAGTCAGACAGGAAGCACAATCACCCTTACAACAGTGGAAGCTAGATGATTGACACATGTAGACATGGATTCGTACTTCCTGGTATTTTGACATGGATGCTGATTCATTTGCGTTTAGTCAGTAACAGAAAGACTTACCTGAGTGAGAGGTTGATTGAGAAATATAAAATCTGAAATTTTATTGACTTAGTATTGTTTATTAGAACTGTAAGAGTAAGGCCAAATAATTCAATTGCACATTTTATCATAAAGTTAAAGCATTGATTGTAATGTCAAATAATTCAATTCTAAGACTGAAAATAATTCGATTGCACTATTTTCTCTGCAATTTTTCGTTTTGACAAGTATTTCCTCCATATTTCAAACCAACCAGGTAGCATCCCTTTCCGATGCCAGCACCGCGTAGGGCAAGGGACTTTGACGGCCAAGAGCTTGCAGCGGGCATGAGAGTCATACATGTCAAGCGACATGGCCTGGTAGGAGAAGACATCCTATGTTCAACAACTTGGGAGTTGGGGACTCCTTCGTAGGAAACTCATACTAGGTTACTAGTGATTGAAATGCTAGTAGTCAATACGGGCCCGGAAACTGAAATGCTGGTAGTCAATACGGGCCGGGCCATCTTCACATTAGTTGAAATTGAAATGCTAGTAGTCAATACGGGCCCAGAAATCTGAATTAAGGGCCGATTAGGGTGTGATTGGTGAGTGTTGTCACCAATGACGCAAGACATTCATGTTGCTTCAATCCTTGTCATGATTGTCAAAGTTTCATAGAGACGGGCTGCGGCACACATCGATACTTCCCCACCTGATCACTAGTGCAATCAACAAGTGTATGGTAAGGGAGTTATGTTTTTTTTTTTTTCTCTTTTCGTTTTTATGATAAGGGGGTTCAGTTAAGTCACATAATAGGCAGCCTAATTTGATATTGAATTCGTCATCCACGAGATTCGAACCTAAGACTTCTCACTTCCAAGTGAAAAGAAATATCATCAGACCGTAGTACTGAATGACAACAAAATGGCACTTCAATACATAAGAATAGTGCGAGAATTTATCAACTATCTTTTTTCTAAAGAATCATTCAAAGTGGAATGGCATGGGAAATGAAATGTTAGTAGTTCTTATGCCTCAAGTTATATACTTGTATATATATGTGTCTTGCGATATCAACAATTCTCATAATTCTACATGGTATCCTGAAAAAAAAGTCTAAATTATCAAGGAGAGAAGCCGGCTGCAAAGGCCAAACATTAAGGTCCAATACTTCCCATTTTCTGGCCAAACAACACAGAATGAAGCCCTTTCCTTTCATCCTCCTAACCTCTCTACTTCATTTTCTAGTCTTAGAATTCTCCACGGCAACTGATACCATTTCTCTATCACAATCTATCACCGGCACGATTAACTTCTTTCTTCCAGCGCAAGCTTCGAATTTGGCCTCTTTTCTGCTGGCAGTTTTCGGTATTTAGGAATATGGTACAAGAAGTTTCCAGATATTGTTGTATGGGTGGCTGACAGAGAAAATCCCTGGCAGATTCAAATGGATCGTTGACAATATCAGAAAATGGAAGCCTGCTCCTCTTAGACTAAATGAACAACACTATTTGGTCGTCGAGTTCTTCCCAAGTAGCAGAGGATACTGTTGCGCAGCTTTTGGAGACCGGAAATCTTGTTGTTAGAGACAAGGCAGCAACTGATTCAGAAGCTTACGTGTGGCAAATTTTTCATCTGCCTACGGACACTTTTGTTGAAAATAAAGGGTTTAGAGGTAGATTTAGAATTTTCTAAACCCTTTATTTTTAACTTAGCATTAGAGCAGGTTCCGATTCTGAGTCTTTCTTCGTAGCCGCAAAACTGTGAAAAGAACCAAAAGAAAATTTTCCAGCAATGTCTCGAAGCAAGAGACACCGCTGACAGAAACCAATTTTTCCTCTAGACTTGACCGAAGGAAGGTCAACACACAGGATACCTAAGAAACCTAAAGCCATGTGTTTTGAAGCAAGAGACGGTGGCAACCAAGCCGTGATTCCATCCGTGGCAGACAACCAAACAATAATTCCCTCCTCAGATTCCGCGCTTGCCTTGAATGCGTCATCCAGCGAGCCATGCGGCAGTAATCTCCAGCGGGCTGGGCTTGCAGAGCCTGAAGCCCAATATCCAAAAACGCAACAATCCGGTACGGACAGGAACAACAAGGCCGGTGCAGGCCCATTTGGGCCATCCACATACAGCAGCCTAGTTTTTAATTCAGCCTCGGAAAATTTGGGCTCAGATTTCTCCCTTTTAAATTTAATTAATTACAACGCACACTTCGACGATCCAAGTAACACAGTCTCAGCCTTAATTGTATCCGTTAATCTTGATACATGTTGGATTATTGAGTCTGGAGCCACTGATCATATAACTTATGATCGTACTCTTTTTAATTCGACAACACTACCACGGGAAAGTATTTTCATTGCTAATGGCGGTATTGCTCCAGTTACGGGGGTGGGTTCGATAACACTCACTCATACTCTCTTCTTACACAATTGCTTACTTGTTCCTTCATTCTCTAGCCATTTGTTATCTGTTGGCAAGGTCACTAAGCAATTAGACTGTGTTGTGCTAATGTTTCCATCGTTCTGTTTACTTCAAGATATTCAACCCAAGCGATCATTGGGCGTGGTACTAAGAGGAGAGGGTTGTACTATGTTGATGATGTTGCACAAGGACGTGTACATCAAGTTCAAGGTTGTAATAATGAAAGGTTGAAGATTGTTCAGTTGTGGCATCGTTGTCTTGGTTATGCCTCTTTTAGTTATCTACAAAAATTGATTCCATCATTATTTGATAATATTCCATATTCTTCATTAAAGTGTAATATTTGCACATTAGCTAAAAGTCATCGAGCATTCTATTCGCCAAGTTTGAATAAGAGAACAATTCCGTTTGAATTAATTCATTTTGATGTGTGGGGGCCATCTCTGGTTACTAACTACTCAGCATGGCATGTGTTGGTTTGTAACATTTGTTGATGACTGCACTAGAATGATTTGGTTGTATCTCATGAAAAATAAAAGCGACGTGGGTGGTATCTTTAAAAAGTTTTATCACATGGTCAACACTCAATATTCGCTCCTGGTTAAAGTGCTTTGGTCAGACAACGGTGGTGAGTATCTTAATTAAAATTTTCTCAAATTTTTACGAAAAAAGGCATTCTTTATGAAACTACGTGTGCTCAAACCCCTCAGCAAAATGGAGTTACCGAACGAAAAAATCGGCATATCTTTGAGATTACCCGTGTTCTTCTTATTGGTAACTGTGCACCCAAGACATACTGGGCAGATGCAGTCATCTATGCTATTTATCTCATGAACCGAATACCATCATGTGTCCTCTCTTTTAGAACACCCTTGGCTGTGCTTGATGATCATGTTTTGCTCCCTTCCACTCTTCATCTCGAACCCCGGGTTTTTGGTTGCGTGGCATATGTCCCTCTTCACAAAAATCAAAGAAGCAAGCTTGACCCCTGTGCAATGCAATGTGTTTTCATTGGCTTTAGTCCTTAGCAGAAGGGGTATAGATGTTATCATCCCCGACTAGACATATATACGTACCTTCTCCGAAGATGGATGTTAGCCTTACCGTCTTTGATAGAATAGCTAGCAGCATTACAAGCCCAACTAGGAGTGAACAAGATAGCACTAAAAGCCCATACAAGCATGATAATTCAGCTACTAAAAGCCCATTTGAGAATGATAATTATGTTGCACATGGCAGCGATGAAGGCCTATATGGGCGTAAGAATGTTACAGGTGGCAGCACATAAGAAAAGGCAAGCCAAAGTGGGCTGAGTGATCAGTCCGAGACAACAAGGCCAAAAAATGCAAGCCCAAGTGGGTTGGGTGATCAGGCCGAGACAATAAGACCAGTTGCTATCATGTGACAGAAGAAAGTGATGGGTGATGTCAGACCCAGTGAATGTAATTTTGTGGACTTTAATAAGCTTAACAACCCCTTTCAACCTCCTCAAGTACCCATCAATGATCCTTGGATATCATTTCCAATGTACGTACTCACTTAGAAACTATTAAACCAATTTATGTATTACCTCCTACACAAAATCGAGGAAAGCCACCAGATAGGTACTCTCCAGAAGGAAAGGTGCTGTATTCAATTGCTAATTGTCTTCACTCATCTACTCTCGCCAAAATATTGTGCACTTATTCAACAAATGGAAACAATTAAAATACCTACCAAAGTGGAAGAATCTTTGAGAGATCTAAAATGGACAGAGGCAATGCAAATTGAGATGAAGGCGTTACAGAAGAACAAAACATAGAGTGTGATGACACTTCCTAAGGGAAAGAAATATGTGGGATGCAAATGGGTATTTACCATCAACCATAAGGCGGATGGATTAATCGATAGATACAAGGCAAGATTGGTAGCCAAAGGGTATACACAAACCTTTGGCGTTGATTACCAGGAAACATTTGCTCCGGTTGCAAAGATGAATACAATTAGAGTTCTGTTATCTCTTGCTGCTAACCTTGATTGGCCAATGAGACAATTTGATGTGAAAAATGCATTTCTACATAGGGATTTAGAGAAAGAGGTATATATGGATTTTCCACCAGGATATGGCATTAATAATTCTAGTGGAAAAGTACGCAAACTTCCGAAGGTATTTTGTGGGTTAAAATAGTTGCCGAGTGCTTGGTTTGGACGATTCACTCTAGCTATGAAGAAGTATGGATACCGATAAGGGAACTTAGATCATACTTTGTTCATCAAGCGTAAGGATGGTAAAGACCTTACTTGTAATATATGTAGACGATATGATTGTCACAGGGGATGATACAAAGGAAATTGAACGGCTATAAAAGTACTTGTCTTCTGAATTCAAGATGAAAGATCTAGGAGGACTCAAATACTTCCTAGGAATTGAAGTTGCTAGGTCTCGAGAAGGCATATACTTATCATAACGTTAATATGTGTTAGAATTGTTATCAGAAACTGGTATGCTGGCGTGTAAACCGGTGGATACACTGATCATGCAGAATCATCATCTTGTGATATATCAAGATCAAGTCCCAACAAATAAAGAAAGGTATCAAAGGTTAGTTGGAAGACTGATTTACTTGTCACTTACACGACATGATATTGCCTGTGGGTAAGTATGGTAAGTCAGTTCATGGATGCACCTAGTAAGGATCACATGTCGGCTGTAATGAGGATTCTTAGTTACTTGAAAGGGGCTCCTGGAAAAGGGTTAATGTATCGAAAGCATAAACATATGAAGGTGAAAGGATATATGGATTCAGAC